AGAACAATAAAAACCCTAATCCATGTATAATTAGAGATAGAGCCCTAATGTAAAACTTAGTCGGCCACAACGTGCATTCTAAAAGAAAATAAACCCTATTGTTTAACACTATTAATGTTACTAATTTAATTCATTATAATTGTTACTAATTTAATCTAATTACACAAATTTAATCTAATACAACATTTAATTAAACTTAGTTACACATTAAAATTAATAATACTAAAGTAATCCAATCAAAGAAAATACAAAAGACACTTAAATCAAACAATTCAATTAAAGAAAAACAAGAAATCATAATTAAACAATTCAATTAATGCAATTTAAATACATAATTAAACAATTAAATCAAATAAATAATTAAAACCATTAAACAATTAAACAAATAAGCAAATAGTCACACAAAAATGCAATAAAACAATAATTAAAATGGTAAGACTATCCTTTTAAAATTAGGGGTATTGCAGTGTCAATGTTTATGGAGGATTTAATTGTTTGTTGTTTGTACTGGCAAGTTAAGTTGAATAACATGGATATATTCTTGAATAATTTAATATAATGTGCTCAGTTTATATTTCTGATTATCATTATATCATGCTTTGGATTTTAGTTGATGGCTAAATTTATCATTTATTGCATCAATTATATGGATTTTGTGGATTATATGCACCGGTATGGGATGATGGGCATATTAGGTATGGATTAGATCAAAACGTTAATTCCTACCTATTCTGGATTTCAAATTGTTGAACTATTTTATCTGTTTTATCAATTATTGAATTGTTTTGTGGATTATATGCACCGGTATGGGACGGTGGCATATTAGGTACGGATTAGATCAAAACGTTAACTCCTACCTATTCTGGATTAAGGAAACAGATTTAATTATAACATTTAAATCCTACTTATATTTCGTGTCATAGCAACGAACAGTTGAGCGGCACTACTATGGTTTTGGATGGAATTTAAATATATAATTATGGTACAGCGATATAAGCTTGAGTCTTAGAGTCAATGGTTAGGGCGCGTATATGCAGTGGGATGCATAACTGGCTATGATAGATTGAGGTATACCCTGTTAGGCTTAGGTACTCATGCCCACTTCAGGTGCGTTTTGCATGTTACCTTCTATTCAGGTTGAAACCCCCTATGTAATCCAGTGAGAGTCCTTTAGTGTATATATATATATATATATATATATATATATATATATATATATATATATATATATATATTTATGGACTAGATAGTTATTGTTGAGTTATTTAGGATGTATTTGCGTATCGGGTCTCTGTTTGGATTATAATTAGAGAAGAACTTGTTCGTGGGCCTAACCCACTATTATTTTTCAGGTATCGGACAGTTCTAGTTTTAGAACTTGTTCGTGCTGAACAAAGACAGTTACTCACTTTTTCGACTACGTAGGATTTCCTTTCATGGTTTTGCTTTGGATTTCATTTTAGTTATTTACTTTTAGTTGGGATTTTAATAGGGGTCCACTAGATGGATTCCCGAGTTGTACTTATATTGGAGGATTATATAATTAGTATTTCTAGGTTTTTTTAATTAGAATTCTTTTTCAGCTTATTTAATTAATTATTGTTAAATTCTTTTTGTATTCTGTGTTCATTTACATACTTAATTGTTTGGTATCCCTTAGATCTGTGCTCGAACTTGATCACCCGTGACTCTAGAATCGAGGGGTATTACACAAATCGCTTCCGTTATGCCGCTTTCAAGATCTCATTTCCAAACTCAAGCTGGTTTCATTTAATCCACCTTGATTTTGAGGGGGACTATTAGAATATATTATTATTATATTGTATAATATATTTTAACCTTATATAGGATTACTATATATAGGTTTACCATGTATAAGATTACCATATGTATAGTTACCATATACATATATGAATTACTTGTTCATCACACATAACTCTTCCTATATAAACCTCTCTTATATACATCTTATTTCACATCAATACAATATACAGAGTTCTCTCTTTTATATTTAACATGCTTCAACTCCATAACTTCAGATATATAACTAGTCCAACAAATGCCATCGATGCTTCTTCCATTCGTTATCAAAAAACCAATTTGCATCAAGTTCCATTCCCTCGAGTCTTGCCAATGAAAGCGCTTTACTCTCTCCCTGCACTTTGATTCCCGCACACCTACATCAAGAATCATAATTTTAAGAGCATAATCCTCAAACGAATAAAAATTTAAATGCTCTAAATAATTATGATGCCAAAATTTTCACAGAAGCATAGCACATTTATTCAGGCAATCCACACAGTCACATCAACCATCTACATGGTTCATAGCAGAATATAGCCACCACAAAGAATACCGCAACATTTTTAGCCATCAGGATTCAAAACTAAATAAACAAAACATGATTATCACAAATTCATGGATCAGAGACTACGTGGGCAATCTTGGCATTCTCTTGGATAAACATTTCATGCATGGTAACTAAAAAGGGCTTCAAGCCCCATGGTATGGTATAACTTCCCCTCCTCAAGATGAGGGGAGGGGTTCGAGCCCCGAAGTATGCAAAAGTGTGAGTACTTACCTGAACATACACAGGTCCACACAAAACATTTTATACAGTACTTCCTATTAAAAAATATTTTGATATATGACAAAATTCTCCTTAACTTCTTTAGAACTAATTGGAAGATGATATGTTTTTCTTTTATATTTTCTGTTAGACAACTTGAGTGACTAAATATAATATTACACATTACAACTAATATTTATAATTAGCGCATTACACATGCCGTTCTTCATTTCACATGTATTAAGTAATTACATAATTCACATAGAAAGTTTTCTGTTACAAGTGCACTTGACAATTATTATAAAAAATAAAATAAAATAAAAAATAAATTCTAGAGTGGCTTTAAGGATCTTTTGGTTTTATGGAAATCTACAGTGGAAATAGTGAAAGAAAGTGAACTAAAGAAAAGAAAAATAAAATTTTAAGGATTCATTTGATTAACATGAAATTCATTTAATTAGCATAAAAAAAGTCATTTCATATTTTGGATAGCATGAAAACTAATAAAAAATGTTATAATTTACCTAAATTGTCTATATTCTTGTTAACTATGACAATAGATTTAAATAAATTTATATTTAATAAATATTTTTTATTTTTTATTTTTAAATAAAAGGAATATAAATAATAAAATTTTATAGGATACCTAAAGAGAGATATAATTATTATAATATTTTTATAAAAAAAATTATGTATAAACACATTTTATTTTAGTAAGTAAAAAGATGAGTATAATTGAAATTTTATATAGTTTTTTAAAGAAAATAAAATTTTCCTATATGTTTTTGTAGAAATGTTTTGTTATAAAATATATATATATATGTATATATATATATAATATTCAATACACCTTGCAGCCAAACACAGTATAAGGAATTTAAACAGGATTTGAGGTGAGAGTTATTAGACCTGTCAATGGAGCGGATGTTGATCCGGATCCGATCCGATCCGATTAGTCGAATATGGATTGAACAAAAAATCCGATAACCCGATTACGATCCGAATCTGATAATCTGTTAGCTTAACAAATCGGATATGAATTATACTGATCGGATCCGATTAATTATATATATAAATAATTGTTTATCAATAATTTTACATATATATATCTATATATATATATATATATATATATATATATATATATATATCAATACTCTTATTAGAATTGTATCAGAGGTAACCCAAAAATTCAAAAAAAAAAAAAAAAAAAATTATAATGTTATATATACAATAGTGACCCACATCCACAAACTAATAAATCTTTTAATATACATACTAATAATATCATACTTTTTATAATTATATATGTTAGTAAATATGATTTTAATTCGAATTCGTATCTAATTCGATCCGAGTCTGAGGTAAATAGAATATGGATTGAGGCATTCGAGAATTCGTTAATGATCCGAATTTAATGATTCATTTACTTAATAAATCGGATATGGTTTTGATCGATCCAATTTGAATCCGATTTATTACCGAGAGTTATGCGGATCGACTAACCCACCCGTGAGATGTGATAAAACGAACTCAATGCGAAAGCCTATCGACCCTATCGTTCAAAACGCGACGTTTTGAACACTGCAAGGTCTACTGTGGTGTACTTCGTAAAATGCTTTTGCAGCTCTCATCATCGAACAAGGAGAAGGAGATTTTCAAGAAAGGTATAATCTATAAAACCCTTTCGCAATTGAAAATCTTATACCCAAATCTGAGTCTTGATTTGAATACGTTTGTACAAGTGTTCACGTGTGTGTATATATATATAAACACGTGTGTGTTTTTGTATATTTCAATGCGATTTTATGCTTTTTATGTAGATTTTGAAAATACAGCCGTAGAATCAACACGATTCCATGGAATTTGAAATTTTGTGTTGTCACCACTCTGAGACCTAAAATTTGTGTCGGGAATTTCTCACTCGATCTCTATCTATGAGGGTTAAACTGTGCAAAAATAAATTTTGTATGGCTTGATACACACTTAGAAGTTAGAAGCACCATGGTTGTCAAGTTTGCCTCCCATATAGTGTTTATATTAAGTTTCAGTTAGAGCATGCATATGAGATGGTTTTGATAGCTACCTTTAATTTTTCACTGTTGGTTCTGTGTCTTCTGAAACAATCTTGTGTGTATTAGTTGGTATGAATACGCCCTACAACTTCTTAAATTATGTCCTCGTTAAGCATAACATTTCTTTGGGCAGTGAAGATCTCGATTCTAAAATTTAAGTTCTCCTTTAATTAGTATGAAGTGTAGATAATAGAACCATACTGACAGGAGTCATGTAGCTTTAGTTGACAAATAAGAGAAGCTTCAGTGAATTGTTTTTGTTATATATATATATATATATATAGTTGATAAGGCAAGGATAAAAACCAAACTACTAGTGGATTTCACAATGTCATTACGGAGTGACATAAGAGTGATTTCCACCAAAACAACATTTTCAGTTGCTCAATAAACAAAGCCATTGTCTTTTATTTGAGATGCAATGTTTCTGTCCTTTACTCCCCACGTGAAGCCTCCCATCTCTCTCTCACACACACATTAGGATGGCACAAAACATCTTGAGACATTCACAAATTTAATGTATCAATTGAACAGATGAACATCTTGATTTATTAGATGCCGTAATAGGAATGCATAAAGTCAAATCCAGCAAGCAAGAAATTAACCCTATCACTTTGTATTTTGCAGTGACTAATACAAAGATTACAGGATTAATTGATCAAATATGTATCTGGATTCATTAGCTCTGACAGTGAGATTTTTTGCAGTGGTTTAGCAAGTGAGTACCTGCTAGCGAGAAACTCCTGAGAGATGCGTAGCATTGTCGGCCGAGACTTTGGTTCAGGATGTAAGCAAGCAAATGCCAATGTAGCAACCAGAACAACATCCCGTGCAACCACTCCGCTTGCTGGAGCTTGGAGGTGTGCGTCTAACACATCATTTAGCATTATATTTTGAGTTGATGTTGATGCTAATGATTGGAGAAGTTCTCCTGGATGCCTTCCCATGAGTGTTTCTAGTGCCACAACTCCGAAGCTATAAACATCACATTTTTCAGTCACAACCATGGTGAAGGCAAGTTCTGCATCAACAAAAAGAATTATGCAAGTGATGCATCAACAAGAAATATACATGTAAGAGGAAACCAACTTTTACTTTATCCTTTGCAGTAAGAAAAAAATAAATAAATAAATAACGAGATTGTTTCAAAATTAAATATTATGGAATTTGTCCATCAATTTGTTTCATCCATAGTGAAGCAGTTACAGACACATTTAATTGTTTTTCCTTATGATTTTGTACAGATAGTGAGATTTGATTTTGTACAGATGGTGAGATTTTTTGAATTTTTCCTTATGATTTTGTTGGAAAATGTAGAGAGAGTAAAACCACAGTCTCTTCCATACTCAGAGATCCTTCAACTAAAAAGTCCTAAAATGACTTGCAGCTAGTAGAAGAGTAAATCATTCTTGGAATAGAAAACATTTTACCAACTAAAACAATTTTGCTGTTAAATTGTAACCAAAAACTTAAAAAAAAAAAAAAAATGCTATAATACGCAATTTTGTTAATTATATTCCCTTTTTATTAGACGGAAAGAATGGTAGATATAGTTAACATTAAGGAATAAAGAGCAGTGTTGTACCTGGAGCAACATATCCATAAGTGCCTACTATCACGGTATGATTAGACGAATCAGGATCCAGCAATCTAGCAGTGCCAAAGTCAGCCACACAAGCTTTGGATTCTGAATCTAATAGAATGTTGTTGCTCGAAATGTCACGGTGAAGAATGGGTGGAGTGCAATCATGGTGCATGTAAGACAAAGCATGGGCAATGCCTTTCACTACATTCACCCTTTGAGTCCATTCCAACTCCATAGCTTCCACTTCACTTGTCAAGACCAAAAAAAGGCTTCCCCTCTCCATGTACTCATACACCAGGAACATGCATTGCTTGTGTAGACAAAACCCATAGAGTTTCACAATGTTCCGATGTCGTATTTGTGATAGAAAGTGTGCTTCGTTCCTGAAACTTTTATCGTAAGCTGGCACTTCGCCTTCCAGGCGATGGAGTTTCTTCAAGGCAACTACTTTCCCACTGGGCAGTTGTGCTCTGTAAACACTCCCATATCCTCCGGTCCCAATGCAGTATCTGATGTCAAAGTCCTCCGTTGCTTCGATTATATCTTCGAATGCAATTGTCCCGTCATAATTCCATATCGAGAACAAATCTCCATGCTTTGTCACTCTGGACTGAGACTGGGTTTTCTTAACCTTGCGTTTTGAGTAGTAAAAATATCCTAGAATTATGGAGACAATGAAAATTGCAATTGGAAGAAAAATTGCAATTCTTTTCTTGGAAGATGATGGATGGCAAGAAACAGAATAAGATTTTTGGTACCATGAATCAATATTCTCAAGAAAAGGATTGCCATACAAGTAAATGATGGATGTTTTGCATATAAGAGATGGGGGAAATGGAATGATGCCAGAGAGGTTATTGTATGAGAGATCTAGGTATGATAGCGAAGGAAGCTTAGCTATCTGAGGCAGGGAACCCTGTATGTTGTTATAGTAAAGGTCTAGTGCAATCAAGCCTTTCATATTCCCGATACCATCAGGTACGGAACCATTGATATGATTTGAAGCAAGGGACAAGTATGTCAATTTGGACAATTCACACAGACTTGAAGGTATGGAGCCAGTGAGTTGGTTGTAACCAAGGTTTATCTCAATCAGATTGGGTAAGTGGGCAAGAGCCGTTGGGATTGTTCCTTGGAGACGGTTGTGACTGAGGTCAAGATAAATCAAATTCTTTAGATTCCCTATTCCTGGGGGGATGGAACCAAATATAAAATCGTTCCAAGAAATATCAAGCTCTACTAATTCAGTCAGATTAGTCAGCCAAAGAGGTAGGTTGCCATAGAGACGATTAGAGGACAAATTAAGGTACTTGAGTTTTAAAAGTGTACCTATTTGATCTAGCACACCCGACTCAGAGAGTGTAAAATCATCATACAACATATTGCAGCTGAGGTCAAGTCGGACCAGGTTTGGGAAGGAAGAGAAGTTGAGTTTCCCCAATTTATCTTCCAATGTATTCCAGTGAGGTAGGTTAATCTGGATGACACTTCCAGCCTCATCGCAAACTATACCAGTCCATTTACAATGATCATCTGACGTGTTTTCCCACCACCCACTATTATGCAGAGCTTCTAGTTCCAATTCTCTTGACGATGCCGATGATGTGGACCCTGCCACCACATAAGGTATAGAGATAGTAAAAATAATATTAGTAGCATAGTAAAAGAGTGAGACAGACCATATAACAAACAATAGATTATTGGTATTGGAATTGGAATTGGAGGATAACATGATTCTAAGTTTTATTTGATCGGATTCAATTGCATGCAACAGATGGGCTTATAATCATCATCATGCTCAAGAGACTTAAAAAGACTTGTGTGGAGGAGACTTGGACACCGGAGTCAAGGTCTTTTTTTTTTTTTTTTAAGTTATAGCGATTGTAATTTTATTTTTTTTAAATTTATTTATATATAGATGGATTTTTAATAAATTTTAATTATTTTTATTGAATTTTTAAAGAACACCCATAATAATACAAAATGATATAACACAAGTTGACTTAGACACTGGTGTCGAGGTCTTCCTTTTTTGCAATCCTATTTTTTTTCGAAATTTGCACTATAGTCGCAGTTGTGGTCCGGATATAACAAAATCAAATCAATGTAAGCTAACAAAATTAATTATTCTAATTGTGAATTTATTTTTCTTAATCGATTTTTAATAAATTTATTGATTTTTTAAAGAACACGAGTAATAATGCAAGTTGACGTAGACCACCGGAGTCAAACTCTTTTCATTAGGAAGGGAAATTCTTTTCTTCTCTCTCCCCCTTTATTTTGTTCATTTTTGTTTTATTTATTTTGGGTGGTAGGTAATATGCATTTCCATTTTTTTTTTTGTTCTCCCCACAATAATAACTGTTTTTCTTTCTTTTCAAAATTTTTAGGAAGCCACAATAATAACTGTTTTTCTTCCTTTTCAAAATTTTTAGGAAGCCCCTTACATGGAAATTTTCAAATTTACACTACAATTTATTTTAGTTGGAAAAGATATGTGTTCGAATTCACGAATAACTAGAAGAAAATTTGAGATGTTCAGATTGTTTTTAGTCCAAATATACATAAATAACTCATAAGAATTTGAAAAACAAACAGTAATTTTAAGAAGAGGACTGATAACCACAATAACCCAAACGAACCAAAATATTTTATTAAATTTGGTTCTTTTCTTAAATTTTTTCCCCTCGTGTATTGAATTCAACACAATTGTCAGTTAAACGAATTTTGAGACTAATTTGGTGTGTTTGTTTTTTTTGTTTTTTTCTTTTTTCAAACAGAAAACTGATTCAAAAGGCCGGTAAATTTTACTTTAATTTAGGAGTTGATTTTGGGATGGCCATTTTTGGTGAGGTTTTCCTGAGTTTGTCAACCTTCCATCCTTGTCAATTAACTCCAAGAATATATATATTTATTATATATGAAGGTGATGAATATTGTCTTCAAATCCTTTTTTTTATTGGACTATTTCTTAGAGTTCTTCTGCTATAAAAAAGAATATTATAGAAATTAGGTTTGAAGTCTCAATAGTTTAAATTTATGTGAAAAATAGGTTTTTTGGGATGGTTCTGTTGTTAAGAAATTCATTCAGAACACATTTAGTAATTTTTAAGTGAATCAAGCTTACGGGTTGAAGTCACAATAAGCAAAAATGCTGTAATACGAGCCTTTTCAAATTACATTTGCTTTGTGACCTTCTCGGCAATTACATTTTTGAAAAGAGAGTAAGAACATTTGTTTGGTTTTATTTTATTTTTTAAATTAACTTTTTTATTTAATATTTGAGTATAATTGAAAAATAATAAAATAACACTTTTAATTTTTCTATTCGAGTATAATGAATATTTTTTAATTTTATTTATTATTTGAGTATAATTGAAAAATAATATAATAATATCTTATTTACTATTCGAGAATAATTGAAAATTAATAAATAACATTTTTAGTTTTATTATTCGAGCATAATAATATTTTTAGATTTTATTTATTATTTGAGTATAATTGAAAAATAATAAAATAATAAAATAACATTTTTGATTTTATTTATTATTTATTATTTCTCTAATTGTGAAAAATAATAAAATTAAATTTCTTTAATTCTCATTTGAAAAAATAATAAGATAACAGTATTTCAAAATCAAAACTCATATTTGTAGAGTTGAGAATTGTGAAGGAAACATAAAAAGAATTTTTAAAAGTTTCCAAATATGAAAAGTCAAAATAGAATTACCAGCCTTTTTTTTTTTTTTTAAAAAAAAGAAAAGAAAAGGCCCCCAATTGGTTGTGATGAAATTTTCTCCACGGCAAACTTGCTAGACCAGGTCTCTTCCGTCCAAATCAAGATGAGATTGATGTATTAACGTATTTAATGGTTCCACTTAATTTGGGAGGTTTAAAACTTTGGTTAAATGGTCTTCGTCTCCACTAATTAGGTCCACACACACAGCCAAAGGAAGTCAAACCAGAGACTTTTGCCTCCCTCTAAGACTAATTTCTGCCTTGTTTATTTTCTGCTAAGCTTTGTGGGTTTTGCCATCACCAATGTGACTGATCATTCAAAGTTGTAATTCCAGTGGTCAAGCTTTTGATTTTCACTAAATAACTAATTATAAGAGAAATAATATGTATACTATTTTCTACCAAAATACACTACTTTTATGATTTTATTCCATAAATTAAATTTTTTGCTTGCAGCAATTGCCACATCAATACATATGTTTTTCAAATTTTTTAACCATTTTTTTTTTTTTTTTTTGGAATGTTGAACATTTTCATATACATGAAAAAAATGACACAATATAGTCTTAGGATTTATTTAATTATTTTATTTATTATTTGATTACGTGGCTAATTGTTTATGTGTTTTAATTGAATTATTTGTTTATTTTAATTGTGTGCTTAAATGGTGTATTTTTAATTAATTGTTGTATAAAATTGATTGTTTAAATGCTCTACGATTTTGTGTAATTATTTAGGAATTTAATATTTATTTTATTTTATATTTTTTAAAGGATATGAATTTGGATAGTAGTAATGGACCAATTCAATGGGTTGCATGGACTACTTGGATAGAAGTTTTTATGGGTATGAATATTTATCCATGGATAGTGGTTTATATATATACATGGGTATATATGTATATAAAGATAATTTTACTATTATTATTAGGGTTAAATGTAAAAAACTCCCTGAACTATTGTGGTTTTGCAAGAAACCCTTCTGAACTACAAGAAACCTCTCTAAACTATTATTTTGTTGCAATTCACCCCATCAGGTCACCGGAAAAGGCAAAAGATAATTTCACCCTTTAACACAGTTTCAAATATTGTCACTTGAAGTTGCTTAGTTGTAACGTGAATAGGGCCAATAAAAATTCGACAACACACCTTTAAGAGATAAGGTTGACTAAATGATGTGGCCCATTATAATGTGAAAGCTCTCGTGTGTATTAGTTGATGTGAATACGCCATACTTCTTAAATTATGTCCTCGTTAAGCTTCATAACATTTCTTCCTACCAGGCCCCAGGGGTTTGGTCCGCGGTAAGGAGAGGGCCTTGGTTCTAACATGTTTAGGGTTCGACTCTCCAACTCTCCATTATATCGCCTGACTTAACCTAGTACTGTAGCTGTAGGGCCGGATGTAGCATTCCCAATTTGTACCTTAGGGGGGGTCCAAAGGGCTCTGCCCGAGAGAGTTCTGCTGCCAACTAAAAAAACAAACATTTCTTCCTACCAAAAATTTGTGAGGGGCACTCTTGCCACATATCTCGTTGGCATCTTTGGGCAGTAAAGATCTCGATTCTGAATTTTAAGTTCTCCTTTAATTAGTATGAAGTGTAGACAATAGAACCATACTGACAGGAGCCATGTAGCTTTAGTTGACAAATAAGAGAAGCTTCAGTGAATTGTTTTTGTTATATATATATATATATATATATATATATATATAAGGCAAGGATAAAAACCAAACTACTAGTGGATTTCACAATGTCATTACGGAGTGACAGAGTGATATCCACCAGAACAACATTTTCAGTTGCTCAATAAACAAAGCCATTGTCTTTTATTTGAGAATTGAGATGCAATGTTTCTGTCCTTTACTCCCCACATGAAGCCTCCCATCTCCCTCTCACACACACATTAGGCTGGCACAAAACATCATGAGACACTCACAAATTTAATGTATCAATTGAACAGATGAACATCTTGATTTATTAGACGACGTAATAGGAATGCATAGAGTCAATAACCAGCGGAAATCCAGCAAGCAAGAAATTAACCCTATCACTTTGTATTTTGCAGTGACTAATACAAAGATTACATGATTAATTGATCAATTATGTATCTAGATTCATTAGCTGCGACAGTGAGATTTTTTGCAGAGGTTTAGCAAGTGAGTACCTGCTAGCAAGAAACTCCTTAGAGATTCGTAGCATTGTCGGCAATAGGGCCCCAATTGGTTGTGATGAAATTTTCTCCATTGCAAACTTGCTAGATCAGGTCTCTTCCGTCCAAGTCAAGATGAGATTAATGTATTAACGCATTTGATGGTTCCACTTAGAAATTTTGGGAGGTTTAAAACTTTAGAGAGTGATATTATTTGTCCAATTGATATTGGTCAAGGAATACATAACTTGTCATGGTCTCCGTATTGCTGGGAGTTGGTATTAGACAATCCTGCTAAACACGGCAAAGTAATGAAGACGTTAAATGGTCTTCCTCTCCGCCAATTAGGTCCACACACACAGCCAAAGGAAGTCAAGCCAGAGACTTTTGGCTCCCTCTAAGACTAATTTCTGCCTTGTTTGTGGGTTTTGTCATCACCAAGGTGACTGGTCATTCAAAGTTGTAATACTAGTGGTCAAGCTTTTGATTTTCACTAAATAACTAATTATAAGAGAAATAATATGTATACTATTTTCTACCAAAATACACTACTTTTATGATTTTATCCCATAAATTAAATTTTTTGCTTGCAGCAATTGCCACATCAATACATATGTTTTTCAATTTTTTTTACCCATTTTTTTTTGGAATGTAGAACATTTTCATATACAGGAAAAAAATGACACAATGTAATACCCCTAATTTTAAAAGGATAGTATCAGGATTTATTTAATTATTTAGTTATATTTTATTTGATTATGTGGCAAATTGTTGATGTGTTTTAATTGAATTATTTGTTTATTTTAAATGTGTGCTTAAATGGTGTATTTTTAATTAATTGTTGAATGAAATTGATTGTTTAAAAGCTATGTGATTTTGTGTAATTATTTAGGAATTTAATGTTTATTTTATTTTTATTTTTTAAAGG